ATATGCAGCCACAGCAACAATATCAAGAAGCGTTAGCTTAGGAAAACTGATACTTGATCTTGATTACTTGATTATTTGCATTTGCCTACTCAAAGCGGTCATATGATTTATAAGAGGTTTACATCATAGGAATGAATTTAGGTGACTTATATGGTACTGACCATATAAGTCACCTAAATTCATTCCTGTGATGTAAACCTCTTATCTCCAGAAATGAACTGAAGAATCTTCAATTGTTCAGCACAATTCCATCACATACGTCCCGAACAGACCATCATTGGACCTAATCATAACTGTAAATTTATTACTCAAAGCGATCATATTTAGGATTTTTCTCAAGAGTGCCTGTGAAAGCAGATTTTGGAATGAAGAATCAATAAAACATCAAATGCGCTGATCTTTAGCTCAGACTATCACCTATTCAAATGATTCTGGAACTATGTGCCATTATTCACTTTGGACTAGCATATGAGACACAACCTCAAAGCAATTGAAATTGCTTAAGCTGAAACTTGGTCATATCTAAAAACTAAAAACTGAATCTAGATTTACATCCACCACTAACAATCAGAGAGTTTTGATCTAAAAGTTAGGCAACTCTATAAAGTTTCGACTAACGATTGAAAAGATTCTGAATCGTGATTCGCAATTCCACCTCAACAACGCTTAATAATCCAATGGATTGAGCAAATTGCTCAAACTCAAACACTCGCAAAAATCCCCAAACTCACAAAAAATTCAAACACTCGCAAGTGCTAGACACGAACGATGCACCAATCCAAAACAATGTCAATTGAAACAATCCGTCGTAATATTTGCATTTGCTTGATTTGCCTGATTATTTGTATTTGCCTATTTGCATCGATAATTATCATTTTCAGCCACTGATAAAACTGATAAGCATTGTTACGCCTAAATACCGTAACAAAAATCTGGATGACTAATAAATGAATCTACTTTCTTCGCATTTCTTCGTTTTTTCCTTTCTTGTGAGCATCAGTGATCAAATGTCAATAGCAGTTACGTGGTCTGATTCTAAAAAATACCTATTATAAAGATTCATAAGGAGACCAATAAAAGTTTTCAAATGCATCTTCTGCATAATTGATTTCATGGTCAATTGGTCTTTGTACGCAGACATTCTTTTATGAATGATGCATAAATTTACTGATATAGATTCAATCTCATGCCTTATCATTCTTATTATCACTTCAATCGAAAAATTTTTGATTTGAATTTTTCATAAAGCAGAAACTGTTCAACAATAAAATGCATCGTTCTTCTTTATCCTCTTTCTATCGATTCTTTAAAATAAGATAGCCTCAGTACTCCTCGCATTCTCAAAAAAACTGTACAACAATAAAAATACAGCTTTCACAGATTGGTTAACTGTAGCCAGTTATAAACCATGTAATTTCCAAGTAAAATACAAGCCTAACGCCTGCAACATTTACAACCGTTGGAACGCATGTACCTCGCTGACCAGGACGACAAAACTGCTAAAAACTTTCAAGACCAACAGCTCCCATAAACAGCGTTTGTCCATGTAAATTAAGTGCGATTACCTATTTTCTCTGTTTTTTTCTTGCGTCGTTTTGTTATCGCACGCTGTTAATAAAAATAATCCTGTAAAGGAGCCTTTATGCGATAAATGCTTCTTTGCAGCGCATCGCTTTTAAGGAGTACT